CTGTGCAGCTTTATTTCTTTTCCTAGGATGTATTATTTCTCTGTTCTGGGGGGCAGGGAAAAGATTAAATTTGAAGTTTAAATAATTATATTAGATGATACTGAAATAATTCTTTTTTTTTTTTTTTAAATAAACTTGACAGTTTAACTAATGTTTCTTAATGCCCCATATTTAAAAAAAAGTGGTTTCCTATTAGAACATAAGTCAAATAGAGTCATGAAGTGACTATACTCCTGTGAACTCTTTGTCTGAAATAAGCATCCTGCGATTTACTAGGCAACATTTTAACTCCTCTAGCAAACCGAGCAACTATTCATAGAAACACGATTTACCACATTTCTGCCCAAATCTGCAATCCTAATGGCAAAGTTAATTGGCAAAGAACTGACATCAGCATCAGATGTCTAAACTCTCCATCAAGTATATCACGGACTTCAGTAACGAGCGCTGATGATTATCAAAGAGGTACCTGCTATGTTTCAATGTATAACATAAATAATGCACAGGGAAAAATTACTAGTATTCCCACTTCAGTGCTTTTTCAGAACTGCTTCCAGGAGGGAACACAAAGATCCCAGTTTATGTTTTGTGATGTTTAATGCTTATAAGGCCTAGTTGTGCAATATGGGAATGGGATCTTCTTGACCACCTCGTGGTCACTTTACCCTCTAAGCATACAGCCCTTTATTCTTATGTTGGCTTTGATGGGACTGTAAAATTGTTACTCACCTACGAACTGTTACTGCCATATTCAATCTTATTGCAGTAAATAGCACAAGAACTAGTCACTAATATTTCAACTATTTCTTTTCATTCAAGCAAGCCATTCACTGCTTCATTTGGCTCCATTACCTTGAGTTTTGACAGTTGTCCAAGATCTTTGGCTGCACTGAATATCATCTGGGGCCCCTGTAATCACATTGAAAAGTCAGGAAAAGACTCACTACAGTGTGTTTGCCTTTTATGTCAAAATGATCTTATATTTTCTGCTAGGACGTTAGCCAATGTCACTGTTTTGCAAAGCTAAATAAAAGCCTCAATTACATGAGACAGATTTTCATTCAGTTGATAAGGCCAAGCAGTTTAATGCTTGCAGCATGGTTCCCTCCAGTACCCCATACTTGATACAGACACTGCGTATTCTGTTGACGGTGGTTTCATGTCTGCTATCTCATTCTGTATTTAACAGTTTTGAGCTAAGGCTGGGACAGTTCTTACTGTGTTCACGAGCAAGTAATGCAAGTAATCCTAACGGGAAGGGAGCAGTCCTGAGGAACCTGCAAAAGTCTGTCTACTGGGAAATTGTCAGTTGAGAAACACACAGCATAACAGTCTACTGTGAAGCCAAAGCCAGTTTTAAAGGAAAAGATACCAAAGTGTTATAAGGTTAAACCAATATTTTACAATAGCCAGATCCTGGCATGATACCAAAGGCCAGTGCCTACGTTTGTCTTTCTTAGACAAACAGAATCCTACTGTAATTCCACACAGAAGACTCTTCCTTCCAGGTGAGGGGCGAGGAGGCCCCTTGTCTCTGCCGCTTCTCCACCATTCTGGGTTCTGCCTGAAGTGTGGCAGTTTCACATTCCAGCTGTACACCTGCAGCTTAACAAAGCAGCAGCTCGCTCAGCTGATGGCTGGAGTGAGCTGCTTTGAAACGGGCTCTACCAGCAGCGTCACAGCTTGCTGCTTGGTGTGACCTTGGAGCATCCATAAGGACAGCAGGGGCGCCTGCAGATCAGGCAGAGGAACTGAACTCTGTGTTCAGTTAATAGTCAAGGTTATTTTCACCATGGTTGAAAGACTAAAATATTTTAATTATTTTTTTTAAAGAAAGGTCTACGTTCAAACTCTTGGGGGAAATGTTTGAAAAAATGTTTTGCTAGCTTAACTAGCTGAAACATATGGTGCTATTGTCCAAGTGGGCTCACTAAGTCTTTGACAGGTAATTCTGTAATCTTGGCAACCAATTAAAAAAGCAACAGAAAAACCCCTTAACTCTGAACCATGCTGTTTTACAAATCAGTGTAACAACAGATCCTGTGTAAAGCTCATACATGCTGCTGGTGCCCGATAGGAAATGCAGTTACCCAATTCAAAGGCTACTTACTTATGTATTTGCAGACAAAATTTGCACCAAAGTGTTTGAAAAGCAAATGAAAAATCTCAGAAACCCAAATTTGACACAGTCACTCATTGAAAGAGAGGCTGTTTCTAATGATGCATAGTGAACAAGAACATTATATAGTAAACATGAACCACTTCAGTGAATGGAGTCCTGGCTATGAACTTGTGATTAGCTCTGGTCTAGAATTTTTACTAGGTCAGAATATTTCATTGCTACCCTAACACCACTTATACGTGTTCTATTAGATTTCCTCTTGCCTTTCCAGCAATATTTTTTCATGTCTCCCTAATATATTACAATACAATTTAATTACATGTTTTTAACATATGGATACTGACCGATAGATTTTTAGCAGCTTAACTGATATCATATGATATCAGATACATAGCAGTAAAGTTTCCCAAAGGCATGCTATGGCAATGTCATGATTAGCTTGTCATAAAGGTGGTGAATTTATTCTAGACCAGACTGAAAACAAGAAGAATTAACATCTGTATTATCCCAGTCCCTCAAAAAAGCAAGAAGCAAAAAAGCAAAAAGGGCACTGCAGGGGCAAGCTTTCTGGGAGCTGCAAAAAGGGAAGTGATTGAATTTCTGGTGCAACTGGGAAGGGCAAGGAGCTCTCTTGGTGTTACTGTGCATGTTGAAGTCAAGAGAGGTCAAACTTAAAAGCCCTTCTACGAAAGCATGCTACAAAGCCAGTGGTTCGGCTTCTTCTATACTGCATTTATTAAAGCTGCTCCGAGCCGGGGCCGACAGCGTAGGAAAGAGGAAGGTCCTCCTCACAGGCTACACCTAGTTACGCTGCTTTGGAACATGAGAGCACCACACTGCACACAGCCAGCCATTGCTCCTGCTGGTCAAGGTACACAACAGGACAGCACCAGATCCCCTCGGCAACCCCTGGTGAAGAACATCATCATAGTCCTCGCTAACGTGAGAACTGCTGCTGGGACACTTACGGTTTGGTCCGTCAGTGGAGGAAGCACAATTTGTTTTTCTATTTTGTTCAGGACTAACTTCCATAACTCTTTTAAAAGCCGTTTCAGAACTGTCTTCTCACAGATTTTCGCAGACACACTTAAACTGGAATAAAAGGAAAGACAAACGAGTCTCCAAAACCAGCATCAGGACTTCAGAGGTGCTGTATCACTATATGCCCAGATTCATGGCCATTATGGTTTAGCTCTTCTCTATCAATAAGGATTTCTCAACGGCTTAGTTATTTTGCAATATTATCAGCAAATATTTTTGTTAAAAAAAAAAAAAAGACTAGTAGATTATAAAATCATGTAAATCTCCACTATCCAATTTATTGCTTAATATATTACTGATATAGATTTATTGAAAATGCAAAATGAATATGAGTATAAAGTTTGATGGATGACACAATTTAGCTCTCCCAAACCCCTAATTTAACTTTTGGTATATACTTTGTTCATGTTCTAAAAATAAAACCCAAACATCTCCCTCGTCTTATATTTCTACTGTGACGTAGAACGAGGTGCTGATAGCGAATGCAAATTCAGGGCTACCATTTTGAAGCACTTACTTATTTCTATATACTGGCATGTCTGTGCAATGATGCTATCTATTACTAACAGTAAAATTAAATTTGGGAGGGATCTATATACTTAGATAGATTTGTTTTCTCTATTTAAGAGCATATTCATAAACCACCTTGTATGTATCGTCATGAATAAGTAGTGTCATGAATAAAGTGCTGCAGTTTTCAGGCACAGGAAAAAATATTTCCAAATAATATAAAGCAAATGCATATGTATGGAATGTTACAGATTTATATCTAATCTATTAACGTAAAAAAATATGATTGTAACATTATTATACATATCACATCACAAATATGTCAACTCATATTTCTAGCATCTCTTACTACTTTTAGTAAGCACATAAATAAAAGCACAATTAACAAATAGTTAAAACCCAAACCATATCAATATAATGTATATAATTGACTTTTAAATGTGTATTTGTAGGAAAGGTGATATTCACTAGCACTTTTTTTTTTTAAATTTCACATCTTTATTTTCTGTGCATGTTTAACACCTGCTAAAATTCCCTTTAACGTTCCTGTGGTGAGGAATATTTTCTACTCAGACAGTAATTTAAACCCCATTTTTATTTCCTTTATGTCATTTTTCAATTAAATCTCTAAGCAGCTACGAAGATGGCTTTGAGAAATGGCAATTTGGAACCAAACCTGACAGGCAAAAGTCAGCTTACCCAGTGTTTTAAATGACCAGCTTAGGATAGCACATAGACACACATAGTAAGTGCATAAATGCTTTTGGCTTTTCTTCAAGAGTTGTGCTGGGAGTAAACGTCTTAACTCAAAGACAATTAAAATTTAAAACCATACTACTTGGAAGCAACGCTCAGCCCTTTTGTAACTCAACACATAGGATGAGGTAGATAAAAAATAAAAGGCTGACATATGGTAAAATAGCTAAAAACTTTTTCCAGGTGAGGAATCCAGGCACTGCGCTTGCCAGTGTTACAAAAATAGTCAGATCTTTCAAGTACATTAAATAAGCATTTTCCCATTGCCAGCTGTCATTAAGATTCATTTAATTGCCAAAGCCCTCAAAAAATGAAGCCTAGAAAAATTAAACCCCTGAAGAAACACAAAAATCCCCTTCAGTTCCCTCCCTCACCCTTAATGCCAATGGCTTTTAGACCCTGGCCGTGCATATATATAGTTGGGAGCTGTGATTCTAGTCGTGCTTCTCAGACAGCGAGCCTGTCAGTCTCATTTTTAGAAATAAGAAGAATGTGAACTAGTGCCCTGGAGAAAGAAATGTCAGTTATAAATCAATTCTTTAAATCAGCTTTTGACTTAGATGTCACTAGTCCCAACACCAGAAGCCCAGAGAAGAATTCCGCACCTCCGGTCACTGACTTCAGAACAGAGTCTTGCTGATCACAGATGCACAGCAGTTTGTCGAAAGCGTAAAACCAAACCTTCCTGGGGATCCCTGACTCAGAAGAAGTTTCAACTGGGACTGCAGGCCACCACAAGGAACAATGGATAATCATATGGTGAAGTGGGGAGCAACGCGATTTGTACAACTCCACGATGCAGAAGACAAGGAGAGGCTCCCTGGCACTCCCCAGAGCGTGTGCTGTTTAATGGGAGAGAATCTGGGGGGGGGTAGGGCCGAAAATGTTTGTCCATGATGAGAAAGGGGAGCAACAACCCTCAGAGGATGCTGGGAAAACTGAAACTATTCTGCTGCCTCTTGAACTCTCCCGACAGGGCCTTTGCGAGGCAGGCATAGCAGGCGCCCTGCAGGCAAAGGCCCTGCATCAAACAGAATGGCTTCTGGAAGCCACAGGCTTCCCTGAGCCTGCCCTCTGCTTGGTTCAGTCCCTTCTTTGGATCTCCCCAGCACAGCTCCAGCCTTACCCCAGTCCTATCCAGCTGCTTCCTCCCAGTTGTGCTGCTTCTTCTGCTTCACCTTTCCCACCTTCCCTTTGCGAATGTCTGGCTGGGGAAATATGCGTAAGGAGCCCAAAGATCAAAAGGTTTGTAACTACCTCATGCGTGTGTGACTGGAGACCTGAAGCTCAGGATCAGTCATGCTGCTTGTTCTCACAGCCACTTCCAGCAAAAGGCCACTGGTGTTTCACAAGTGCCAGTAATGACACCACCAAGGACAGTGAGGTGCTTATCAATGTGCCTGTGCTGCACATGGCACATCACAACAGCTCATCCTGTCACTGCTGGATGGTCAGAAGTTAAGATACACTTACCTTAAGGGCCCAGTCTGAGGTTTGCAGGACTATTTCAAAATTTAGATTTTTACCGATGGAAAAAAATCAAGCTGCTCTGTAAATCTTTAAATGGTGACCAGGTTTTTCAGGACACATAAATGCACGTTAATAAGGTGCCAGCCGAGAACACATGGCGGGCAATTTCAGTACAGGGAATTTACTTTTGTTCTTCTGTTCAGTAAAATCTTCATACCACAGCTCGTGGAGGAGAGACTGTGCTATGGCTGCTTTGCAATGACTCAAAACCTGACCGCAAATAGGCAAACACGTGGCTTACACAGAAATTGCTTAGTGTAAGTAAACAGGTTAAGCATAGTATTCTGCACAGATGTGAATACTACAAACGTTAACAATACTACAGAGCATTTCTAGGTGTTAACAACGCTTCAGGGTAAAACCAAGTATGCCTGGCTACAGCATCCAGTTCCTCATCCGCCACGCTTACGTTTTGTCCAGGAAATCCATGAGAGGCCGAAGCACAATCTCGGCATCAATGGCCGCGCTATTCTTATTAGCTGCTGCGTTCCCATTTCCTCTCATTTGATTCAGTTCATTGCTCATCTGTCTTACACAGTCTTCAATAATAAATTGGAAACTACAGGATGAGGAAAAATTAAAAAAAGAAAAAAAAGAGAGAGAATGAAAGTATTCTGGGGCAAAAAAATAACATTTATCATTTTGCATCAGGTTCTTCAACAAGATTTAACTCTTCCCTGCAATGACAGAAAGTTCACAAATGCAAGATGCTGCAGGTGCTACCGACAGAAAATAACTCCTTCTAAGGATTATAGTTCACATAACTCATGTACGGTTTTGATTTTGTCCCCCCTTGTTTCCGTTCTCTCATTATGCTTTTCATGCCCTTGTAGTGGTGCCAAGCAATTATTTTCTGAAAGCAACAGACGTATCAGATTCTGTAGTTTAGGGTATGATTGGCTACCAGCTAGCCACAGCTTCTCGAGATTCTACTTTTGGTGTGAAAGGACAACAGGAACAGGTGACTACAAATTATTTTTTTCTTGATCATTAAAATGAATGGAGCTTTGATATTATTCTTGAGGACAAGTAGAAAACTTCTACTGATTTTGCCCCATGTGGCTCAATTTGACTTTTTCCTGGGTTTCACACACAGTCACTGCCATCAGAAGTTTTGCTTACTTTGCAGTTAGAGAGAACTAAAACATTTGGACTGTTTAAAATACTCTTTCATAGAAAAAAAAACACTAAGAAGTAGTTAGATTCTTCCTCCTGGAAGGCATGTTTTCCACTTCAAGGTGAGCGTGAACAAATTCTTACTCCTCAAGTTGTAACTCTTCAGCTTTTCTGAAAACTTCCTTTTGCTAACTGATCTGGTTGAGCAACGTGTCTCACAGTCTCCTATGTCACTGATGCGATACAGTCTTCAGTCAATATATGTAAACAATGCAGAACAGCGTTAATCAGAGTCAACAGTTCAGAGGCAGAATAAGGCTCTGCACACACGGTAATTTGGTTGATGAATCGATTCACGATGACTTGAATTGGTTTAGGATAAGTTTATGAGCAGAGATGCAAAAGACAGGCCATAGCTATACCGGGGCTATTAATGCAAAAAGGTAAATAGCTCTTCCGTTGGAGGAAAGTGAGAGAGAATTTACTATGAGAGAAAAGCAGCGTTGTGACCTGGCAGTAAGCTGTTCCAGCTACATGGCGGATAATAAAAAGAGAATGTGAATCTCTGTGTGAAAACACTGGAAAAATTGGAAACTTCTCCAGGTACACTTGGATGTGTACTTACCTGCACGCTTCAAAGCCCCAGACAAAATCGACACAAAGCTGCTATTGAAGCTGCTCATGCAAATCCCTGGGACCAGTCCCTCCGATAAAAGCCAAAATAATAGCTGGGTAGCCCTGCAAATCCCAGCAATAAACTGACCCATGAGGAATGTTCTAGCTATCTGTAGCATGTCCTAGATTAAGCTATTCCTGGGTTTTCTTTTGCAGAAACTTAGTTGGCTCATTCAGAAAGAAGCCCTGGAAAGAAATAATATTCATGCACTGTCAATGATCAGAGAGCCAGGGCCTGGGGGTGAAAATAAAGCAAGACAATATGACAAACCTAGTGCCTACGCACACTCTGAAAAAGCAAACACTGTGCGCCCAGACGGTTCATTGGTGGATTAAACAGGAAACGACAAACTTCACTTAATGAATACCGCTGCAGCACTAACCACTTTGTCGTAGATTCCTTTCTAATTTGAAGCAAATATAACACGCAGCTTCTTACAGCACAGGCTCTGCTGGCTCACCACCACTCATTCAGGACTACGGTGTGCACTCCGATTAAGGAAAGATTCTGAGTGTAAGCCTCAGCAGACAATTTTCTGCAGAGCCACAGGCCAGCACGTGACCCAAGAAGGCCATTCACAGGGAGCATCTGAAGCCGGCTGAACACAGGCAGGCACCCCTGGCTGAAGCAGGCCACTTGGAAAAGGCTGTCAGTCTCAAGAAGTAACGTAAACATCGCCAGAGAGAAAAGCTTAACGTAGCATCAGGCTGAACAAACCGGCAATTTTTGTTTTCCAAAAAGCAGAACCAAAGTCATCGGCTTCACCCCTGCAAGACGTTCATGCCCACAGATGATTTTCTGCTGTATTTACAGTGAGGCTACTGCTACGTGGCTCAGAGTCTAAACGCATACACGCACACAAACGCACACCACCTTGTCAGGCTGGAGCGGGCTGTACCTCAGGATATCCAACCAACCACCCAAACTCAACCAACAAGACAGATTTTTGAACAGGAATATTTCTCTAAGGTTTGCAGTAAAATAGGTTTGTTACCTGGTAGCATATGTTACGCTGAGTTCATCCAATACATTGCTGAGTTTCACCTGAAGTTCTTTTAGAACAATGCTGGCTTCGGGATCCAACTGTAAAGAGATAAGTAATGTTATATTTTTTTACTTATACGCTATGGTTTTGGGTTTTCCATTACAATAAATGCATTGGGAATTATACGCAATGATACACTGCACTATGGAAAACCAAATGTGGAAACATGTGTTACACCATAGGATTGCTTTAGGAGGTCTAAAGATCCAATTACCATTTAAAGGAAAACATTTGATCGTAACAGTAAAGATCTGCATTGTTAGAAATCAAAACCGTGCTGTTAAACAAGGGCTTTCTGTGGGGTGGTGCAAACTGTGCTGGCAGTCGGGAGGATAGAATGGCCATGACCAGGCAATGGCATTCACAAGGCACACCAAGAGAAGGATGCATGAGCAGTTAGCACTTGTGTTAGTAATAATGCAGATGATTTAATTTTTTAATTACTTCGATACATTTCACCACTGTTGGTACATTTTTGTGACTTGCATGGAAGATGTTTCCACATTCCCATCAGGGCAGTCTAAGAGCAGCCCAGCCAGCACCGGAAAGGGGGGCCTGAAGCCTGCTAGTGCTGGGTCTGCTGATACAGTATGAGGGAGGTGAACCTCCTGCATTCCAGTACTTCTGTTTCCAAGAGCCATTAAGACCTACATAACTCAAGCAGAGAGCAACACATTCTGATGCACAGGTACAGCAGCTCCTGTACCTTTGATGACGGGTTTTCTAAACGAAGGAAAACAGAGAATGCAGGGGAGAAATACAGTTTTATATTTACTGGGATGGGGATCCACGCAGAGGTATTTAATCAGAAAGGTACTCTGTTGATATTGATCAGCAGCTTGTTTATTTGCTATGGATTCTTTTTCAAATTAGGAAAAAATAGACTTTCTGTCTCCTTGAGCTTCAGCATTTAGGAAAAACAGTTACAGTACATTGTGGGATATGATTGATGATCACCGGGATCAATAGCTGACTGTGAGTTAATAGGTAATGTTCCAGATCTCTCTGCTATCTACATCACAAAACTAAGGAATGATTTTCAGTGATAATCCTCAAATTCTGGGCGCTGTTCTGCAGTAAGGTCAGATACAGATCTTCTGACCAGTTCAAAGGAAATCACACATTTAGAACAGATAATCAGGTCTGTCTCTATCCGCGTTTTCATATCTTTTGACTGCATGAGTCGTGTTCAGTGTTTGTTCTTCATCTGATGCTTCAGAGTACTATGGGGCAGTAGATCACCTCTTTTAATCCGCCTTTAGAGGCAAGAGGAAGCTGTGTCACAGCATGTTGGATAACTTGCATGAGACTATGCAGGAACTCTAAGGCAAAGCAAAGAAAAACCAGACTCTGGAACGCCCCCAAAGATCTACTGTGTTCTAATCTCAGACCATCCTTTCTCTCCTTAGAGGTTATGTATGGTTTAAAAGCATAGAAGATCCAAGATTTTCATTACAGTTTTTGACAAAAATCTGAATCAGGTGACGAGAGGGATTGCCACACATCCTTTAGAAGAGACTCAGTGGTGTGCAGCACTTTTCTGATCGGAGAAGCTCATGTTCTAAAACTGTGACTACTTACAGATTTAGTTTTTTAATTACTTTGCATTGAGAGAAGTTCTGTTGCTTCTCCACTTCATGCCTTAGTAGTTTCCCTGACAGTTCATACACTTAGAGTGACTGTTTTCCTTCTTGTGAAAAGCAGGGATAAAAAAGGTAATTTCACTGAAATGTCTATATTAGTTAACAAAGCTGGCGTTTACTAACAAAGGCAAAGATTTTTCCAGGAAATGCATTTCACTAGGAAATTATACTGCCTTCTTTGGTGGGGTACATACAGAATACAATTTGAAGACCACTAAAATATGAACATTTAACAAATACCAAACACACAAGCATTCACACCGAACATCAGAGAAAGCACAAAACACCAGGCAAAATTTCTTACCAGATCGTGTACAAGCCAGAGAAGCATATTGTTACGGGGACTACGAAGCCCCATGTAGTTACTTTCTATCAGGGCTGGTTGCGATAACCAGAAAACACAATATATTTGCTAAATTCACCTGGAACTGGACTTAGTCTGGCCAAAACTGGGTTAAATATTACCACTGGATCGTGGACATCACACACATTATAGAAAGGTGCATGCAAGAGCTCGATGTTTCGGAGGGTTTTGTGCTCACAGATGGCATGACCAGGTTTGTGTGTGCAGAGCTGGAGGTCTCCGGCAGGACACCCAGCCCTGCGTGTACACAGGCTCATGCTTATTAAGGCGGCGCCACGGGGAACGGTGGAACACAAAGAGGTATGCGGGCTGGCCGTCCGGGTGCCAGGCACCTGGCGAGGCTGTGGTGACTAAGAGCAGGTCAGAAAGATTTTTAAATGCTGTTGGTATTTTTGTCTAACCACTGGAAAATATGGTAGTTTGAGTGTGTCACCAGGACTAAAATGTGCACTTTTCATTCGTTTTATCGTGTGCCCTCTATGCGAGTTTGTTCCCAGGGTAAGTCAGAGGGTCCTCAATCCTCGGCTGGCATCATCAAGGGATACTACAGCCATAACCTGCTTTTTTTTCTGATATGGTACAGACAAGATGGGAACTATTATGATGGTTTTATACTATGAAATTCTGGTGGGACTTCACAACTGGTGAAGATGGTTTTAGGATGGCTTTGTGCGGTGCAGGTAAGGTCAGTCAGCTTTTGGTACCTCTGCACATCACACACTTAATTTTTGTGGATTATCTTCTGTATGTCTTATCTTTCATGCATAAATTAATCGATTTTTAGTATGAACAATACATTCAGCTATGATGCTTTACTTAAAAAACAAAATATTTGAAAAAAAAAATCAGTGGAAGAAGGAAAGGTTACTCTCTCCCTCAAGTATTCTAAAAAGCTGTAGTTCACAACACAACTATGCTGTGCAAAACCACCACAGTTTTCCAACAACAAGCTAAAAAATGAATTTTATTTGTGCTTTAGAAGGATTTGTTATTTCAGTGACGGTTTGAACAACTCCTGCTAACACATTTTATACCAGGTTTGCTTGTTCTCAGGAAAGTATCGTGTGGGAAACGCACTACAGCAACATGCAAATGGTGCGGCTTAACGGAGCTGACAAGACTTACGCAGGCTGACATCACCACACTCACTGCTTGAGACAGTGACACAGAGCTCTCAAAACCGCCACATAAAGGAGGTGAGGTTCCATCAGTGATGGGGAGATTAATTCATCCATCTGAGTCTTTCCAGTGACCAAGAGAAGAAGTCCTTAGCATTCTTGACTTGGCTGAGATTACTTACTAGCAAGGGAGTAATGATAAAACCAGCCACCTCTGTGTCACGAGCCTACCTATTTCTGAATAGTGCAGAGTTATTATAGGAAGGGAAGTGTGTAAGAACTCAGGTCAATGCAATCTGTGATTCTTAGTAGTTGCTACTAGGAGCAGTTCAAGTAAACAGATACAAACATCTTCAGCTGCAGAACTCTTGGCCACCCAGATGTGATCAAGTGACGAACTACAGGGCTAACGTGGCCCTAATGCCACCCTGCTTTGCAATCAGCCAGAAGGAAAGGGTGAAAGCGAGACAAAAGGCAATGCTGATGAGTGTCTGAAAAGACGTCATATAGGGATATACAGGCACGAAAATGACATAGCTACAGTATTGGGCACTTTTCTTTTTCTCCTCACGTCTCATCTGCTCCATAGAGTTTGATGAAGAAGGAAAAAAAAACCCAGAAACCTGAAAAATTTTTCAGGAAAAAAGCCCTAACCGAGCAGATAATTGTTGGGGGAAAGAAAGATGAGTGTCATTAAAGGGCCATAGCTAATTTAAGCACCCAAAGAGAGAAAGGACCATTTATCCTTTGCCTCTTGGGTTCCATTTACAGGCCACAGCATGCGCGTGCTAGTCTTAAAACACATCGGTACATTGCTCAGGTGACAAAATTGGATTTTTTTTTTTTTTTTTTTAAAAGCAAACTTATTTCAGTAGTGGAAATGTTATTAACCTCTTAATGTCTAAATCATACTTTTCTACCAATTGTTAATTTGCTTGGTTTTCTCAGGTTCATAAATATTTCTGTTATTTTACCATCTTCTTAAATAATAGAGTTAATGTCTACCCACAACAGAACATACGCTTAAATTTGATGGCACACTTCATAAGATCTGTTAATTATGGATTATTAAATATATAATTAGAAGTTTGACTTTTTCTGAATGCTAAACAAAAGCAGAGAATATTATTGCTGAACAGCTGGAAAAAGGAAAAATAAGAAATACTTGAACATAGCTGTTTCCAACTGCTGCCTATCTAAAACTGTGAAATGTGAAATTTTGTATACATCCAAGCCTTGGAGAAGAATTAACATTCTTATGAATTTGGCTGCTTTCAACATAATGCTTTAGATTGAGCTATTCCATGCTGTAATTCAATGTGTGGCAGTATGGCCATAATCTTGTTAACTGCAAATTTGGTAGTGTTTCTACAGGAAACTAGAGATGCAAATTACTTTGGATGAGTTAAATGGAACCTCTCTAATCTGAATTCCATTTATCTGCAATGTCACAGATCTAATTTTTTATTGTTTCCTAATAGGACCACCTGGTTATTTCTGTTCAAAAAACAGTTTTACATATTGTGTGTACCTCTAGAAAAGATACAGGTATTTCTCAGATCTGCCACTTTAGTGGCTCGTTTTGTCTCTGCTAGACACCATACCTCCTCCACCCCCCACCCAAATATCTGGGTACAGCAGGTTCCATTTTGAGACGTTCGGCTGCCAGTGCTCTGAACACTCGGGCCTCTGACTTCACAGATTTGAAGATGGACACGTCAAAACTATTCTCCTCAAGTCTGGGCCTCTGCCATCCCATCCAAGTCTTTAGGACCACATATAGGTTTCTACAACAATTCCTAGGCATTACATACGAAGCTGGAACTGAACTTACCTGAGCAGAAACACGAGGTACCTACAGCCAGTGTACTACTGTCATACATAACCAACCTCACGTTTGCTTTCCACCTTTTTATCTGCCCCTAACAGCAGTAACTCATTTCTGCCATGTTGTGCCATCTGGTGAAAGGCAACACAAGGATTAACTTTTTTCTTTCCCTTTTAGCAGCTTCCAGACTGTTAGACATGAAAAAATGATTTAGGGCAAACGTAGGCACTCTTTTTGGATGGAGCAAACAGGAGCTAAACCCAAACTCTGGAGCATTATGATGACCTGTTCCCATGACGTGGGCCCTGTTTTTTTAAAAAAAGAGAGTGGATTTACTACTTCTACGTTATCGTGGCAGACTGATCTCATTTACATAATTTTTCAAGTACCCTTTCTGCTTGGCTACAGCAGAAGAGGAGAGTTAATAAACTCGTATTGTTCAGACTATTTTATTTTAATGGTAGGGGCACCGAGAGCCCAGGTTTTTCTCTATTTATAGACCTTCCTGCCCTGCAGTATGCAATAGGCCTACTCTGAACACAGGGACTCCTGCTTGACTGTGGTATTTTGGCTGCATAGTTTGAAAGACACACTGCTCGCAGTGTGATGCTGAGGAGATTAACAGCATTTCATTTTTCTTGGAATTAGTTTTGCTTCAGCTGAAACAGGTCTCGTTATTCTGCTGAAAATAATCTGACTTTTTATGTGCTCCACAAGCAAAATATGAAGCAATTTTCTCCCTGCAAGGAAACTGCTTACAGATTTCATTGCTGGCTTTGTTTCTTATAAGTGACAGTTCAACAAGGCAAATTGGCCATTAGCATTTATGCTCTTGGAATAGCTAGGGGAGCAAGCATTCTGATTTGAGGACAGACATTTTAGGGGCACTTTGATGTGGGTGACAAAAAAAACTGAACATGAATGTATTTTTGTTCAAGAAATTCCTCCAATGACAAACAAACAAACTTTGAATGTAATTTTTAGATCTTTTTTTCTTAGCCCAGAATCAGAGATGCACTGAAGGTATATAACAAAAGGATTTTAGAAAAACATCTCTGAATTGTCTCCAAGGGTTGCATGTTACACCACACTTGTATGAAATGTTGCCAACATCTGGATGACAATTATATCTTTTCAAAATTTGGAATGAAATTTGCATTGATGACAAGACTGCAGGAGTTTTTTTCGTGTTCTCTAGAGCAGGAAGCCCTTTTGCCACGGAAGCTTCAAGAAGCTGTTAAGAGCTTAACAAAACCTCCTTGCCATGGAGTTAATCTGTATGTTCATTTGGAAGGTGTTAGTCATTGCATGATACAGGGGACATCTTACCTCTGCAACATCCCACTGTGGCTGTGGAAATATGAAATAATGTATTTTCTAGTGCTGTCTATAATGTAGCCACATTAGATCAAAGTTTTGTGAAACTATCAAACTACAGACTCGACAAGAAAAAGCTGATGTATCTGTAACTTCCTTCTTAAAGCCAGCTATTGATAGTAAGGTTAGTATTTTCATGCTCTAAACACGGCTTTTTAACAAGAGGACAGGATTCTATAGCTTGAAAAGATGTTACTTTCTTCATGAGCTTTCAAAACAAAGACTACAATCAGTGAAGTATTGAAGCACATGTTTATGTCCTTTTACTGGTGACAGGACTTCCAGCACTTTCAAGTCTTATGAAATAAAGAAGGAGATAAAGCTAAGCATGTTCTGGACCATTGAGTAACGGCTCTTGGTGAAATGGTGCCAAATCCTGAATACAAGCAGGCCCTCGGATAATGAAAAGTGCATTTAAAAAATGTTTTATAGATTTTTTTAAAACTCTGAAAGACTTTGCACTATCTGCCTAGTAAAACTTTTCAATTTAGAGTGTCAGCTTAATGCCCAAGCATAGCTCTTTTTGATTTCAGATCACAGGAAATTACAAAAATGCATCAATGGAAATTAGTAGGAAATGTGACTGTTCTTAGCCTTAGAAAATATGGTCAGGAATAATAAAAGATGCTTACTATCACAAACCTCATAAGAGAATCTCTCTCCTTCTTTCTTCTGCTCAGTGGATTGCAAGTCAAAAGCATCAGACAAAGACAGGACACATTACAGACAAAGCACAAAGCACATATTCTACAAAATCTTCAGATACAGGCAAAACATACCAATACATGATAAAGCAAAGTATAGTCCAATTCAAACGTTAAAATAAAGCTGGCACTACAGATTGCAACACAAAACGCCCAGTGCCGGTTGAGCTTTACAGATCATTAGCATGTTTCTGTGAAAGAATTTTAGGTCTTTCTAGTATTGTCAGGACAGTAAATAGTTCTTGTAGAGTTCTTTAACATTTTGATTGTCTTTGCAAGCAGAAGGGAAGGCTGTGACTAGGTTGAAAACATGGTGCTAATGATCTCTAAGGAACTTTGAATGAGCCAGGAAACAAATACGACTCACCTCCTTTCCTCCCATGGACTCAAACATCTTCTCAAGCTGGACTCTCAACTGTTGAATGTTGTTCATCAGGATACAGGGCTGCAAAGAGAGCACCAGATGTAAGCATGTGCATGACATGTTCCTTTTACGTATGAATATGTGTATTCACAGCCTCTGGGCTGAAGAGCAGCCCTTCAGCAGCCCTACAGTCATGCAGTTGTGTTTGTTATAGGAGGATCTCAGGTTCCCGAATACTGCTGCCTTCCCTTCCTTAATTCACGCTCCCCTCTGCTCAGTCAGCAACCCCCCCCAGTCAGTCACTGCCCACGATGCCCTTCAGACCGTGCTGCCCCCCAGACAACTGGGTCCCTCCTCCCAACCAGCTGCGGAGTTTGCAGACCCCGGTATTCCTCATCCTGAACCTTGCTGACGTCGTTGCTAGTCACACTTAATACAACACGTCTGGTGGATTAATGCAAGCAGTACATCATCACCTCTTGGAAAGCAGAAACAATAATAACCAAAGTGCTTTAGGAGTGAAAACAGACTAGGAGAAAGGGATTACCAGGTTGCTCTCTAGACCTGGTGTTGCCGAAAATGGTGACAGCACTGTAACCCAGATAACGGATGATGCTTAAGTATTTGAATAAATCAACGAGCAGTTCTGTTACTAACAGAATAATATTCCAGAAACGTACATTTTGCGTTGCTTGAAAAGTTGGTGAATGAATTAGGCAATAGCATTTTGTAAACATATTCATTTAGTCTAAAAATACTGCTGTTTAAACTCATTTCTTTAAGGAAGAACAGAGAGCCAAAGCGTAAAAGACAGCAATTGCTGGATAAATATGAGGTAAAAAGCAAAATGGATAAAATTAAGCAGCTTATTACAAAACTGTGGAAGAAAGGATCTGTTACTGGAATTTTGTGTACTCCGGTGACATTCTATCCTAGTTTGCTATGGTGCAATAAGACAATACTTGTTAAAAGAGTTCTGGTTAGCCAAGGTCAGTCTATTCTAGTGCATGATTGGATTAATTTAGACACTGAAGTAATGCATTTCAGCAAAACACATGCTTTTTTTCAGGCAACAAGTTGTTGGTGGAATGATTACAGTGATTGATACTTGTTTGCACCTTTCTAGTTAATAGAATGTTCCAACATGGTGCTGAAACACGGTGGGAATGGATTTTAGTATTCAAAAGTTCAGTAACATGATTTAGCTTTAATGAGTTCTAGATTACTCTCAAAGGAATTTGGTGTCAGAGTCCTTCTCAACTGAAGGAAAAAAAAGCAATTTGATCTGACTTCTTAATACTTACATTACTGCTTCCCAGTAAAGCACACTATTTGTCCTGCAAGTCAGCTGGCTTTGCATAAAGGTTAATATCACCTCTCTTCCCGCCTCTTGAAAAATTCACAAACCCCACTTCTTCTATTTGTTTATCTACCTTCTTTTAATTTATGATCACTAAGTTTCTGTCCTACTCTCCTGTGCTATCTCCTGTCCTCTGACATAGTCATTATTCTGGAAATCATCTGCAGTATCACAAATCAATGATTATGATTTCTGATGGACAAATAAGTAGCTGAATATAATGTCTTGGTTCTTTTGTTCAAAACAAGTGCAGATGCCTTTGGCAATACACTGAAGCTACGAGATAAATACTTCATACTGAGGCAGTTTACAGTTCCCTTTGAGAAGAGGTAAGGTTGCTCTTTCAGAGCCTAAGCCTACCTTGGCTCAATGGAAATTGTCTACTGCTGTCAGTTAATAACAGAACAAGACCTTAAAAATTTCTCGTCTTATTATTTCATCATTTTTCCCTTCAGAATACTCTTTGCAGCAATTTACAGGAATCAGCCAGCCGGTTGCAACCACTCGTAAAAGTGAGTGGTAAGTACAATCCATAAACCCAGGTTTGTCTGCAAACTGTGACAGAAGGTGGAAGATCAGAGGATGATTTTACATTAGATACGTGTCTTTATGAAAAAACACCTTTGGTATGCTTTTATTCGAACAGTTTATGTGCACATTTTGTAGTGTTTACTAAAAATAGTAAAAGTATTAACTTGAAAAAGAATGCAAAAATCTAACTTTATAAAAATATTTGGTTTAATCTCTTCTATCAACTCTAATGCAGGAGACGGACTTTTAATGTAATTGACATCACCAGATCAAATGGTCTGTTATTAAGCTATAATATAAGTATGTATTTCAAAAAGGTAGCTTCTGCTAAAAACAAGTTATGTCCCCCAAAGGCATTGTACTGCAATGAGATTAATTCCATCTAAAGCCTTAGTAAAAATTGGCGTACCAGGGTGACCAGAATTCAACCACCGAAACAATTAAAAAAGTCCCCTTGGACAGGCCAAAAGACCACACAGTTTGACTCAATAACTCAACACTGGGTATCAAAACTCATTTCTTCTAGAAAGCAGTAACCTTTAGTTAATATTAGCATTAAATTGAAAGAAATGAAAAAAAAAAAAAAACCCTCAGAAATTTTATTTCTTTTTTACATTAAATTTTGAGAATAATTATGGTTCATATTGGGCCAGATACAGAGACAGATTATTTTAGATGAAGCTTGGTTTGGACTGATTAATGTCACATCATGCATTCACTCCTCCCTGTTGGGGAGAGAGAGTGTTTCGTTCTTTTCAGCTCTGCATTTGCCCTGGAGGGAAGAGGTAAGGAACATGCAGAACCTGCACTTGTAAAGTTAAAAACGCATGAAGATTTACCTCCTGCTGGCTTAGGGGGAAAAAGACTGGTGATATGTTGTGCTGGTCTATCATATATCAACTGGTATCCAGCAACAAGACGCATGGGAATGGTTCAAAATTGCATCAGGGGAGGTTCAGGCTGCTTCTTAGGCAGCATTTCTTTACCGAGAGGGCGGTCAAGCACTGGAACAGGTTTCCTAAAGAGGTGGTCAATGCCCCAAGCCTCTCGGTGTTTAACATTGGAGAATGCCCTTAACACCATGCTTTAACTTTTGGTCAGCCCTGAATTGGTCAGGCAGTCGGACTAACTGATCACTGTAGGTCCCTTCCAACTGAAATAGTCTATTCTATCCTATAACTGGCATATTTCCCAGTGTTTCTGCAGCTCTGATTCTTCTTACACAATAACTGCCAAACTTGGCCTTGGGCTTTTACTCTTTCCACAAGCTGAAGAGATTTAGTACTACCAGAAGAAAGATGCATGGATATCTACTGAAGTGAGTCTTTTCAATGTGTTTACTGCAAAGGGCTTCAAGATTGAACATATCTGTAGGGGGAAGTCAAATCTGAGACATGACATAACTACACACGCAAAAGTCACTCCTCTAAAAACTTGTATATAAAACTTCTACTTAGTAATAAAGTTTTGAGTTTGGTATTTTTATTTATTAGTTCTATTTTAGAGAAAATTGTGTAAAAGGAACAGAATGTTCTAAGTGTCTCCTAGCAAAACTACCTGTGGCCTGAAAAATGTGGGGTAGGGAGAAGAATTGAAAAAAAGTAACTCATGGGTTGGGTTAAAAACAGTTCATTAACTAAAATAAAATAATAAAATATTAATAGTAAAATATATTAATAATGGTAACAACAAAGAAAAAACAGTAAGAGATGGAAATGAAACCCAAGAAAAGCCAAGCGATGCACAATGGAGTTGCTTGCCACTGCTGACCGATGCCCGAGCAGCGACCTGCCCCCCTGCCCAGCTCCCCCCAGTTTGTGCATGAACCTGACGTCCCACTGCGGAACATCCCTTTGGCTGGTTCAGGGCAGCTGTCCTGGCCGTGCTCCCCCCAGCTTCTTGAGCTCCTGCTTGCTGGCAGAGCATGGCAAACTGAAAAGTCCTTGCCTTGGGACAAGCGCTACTCAGCAACAACTGAAACATCAGGGTGTTAGCAGCGTTATTCCCACACTGAATCCAAGCCACAGCACTGTACCAGCTACTAGGAAGAAAATTAACTCTATCCTCACAGAAACCAGGACAATAATGTTGCTCCTAAGAAGATCTTGTAAATTTTCTTCTACTTTAACATATTAAATTATTAACTAGGATTCTTAACTGATTCCACCTATTCCAGGTTTTACACAGCAATTTAAGGAGCTATGAAAATGTGCTGACCTTATTAGAAAATAAAGCAAAACAAAAATTCATTCCTCCATTCATACTTTTTTCCATATACCAAGGCGATTACATTTTCGAAAAGCACAGTAAGTGATTTAAAGGTAATTTCTGAGACAGAAACAAAACACAGCTTTTTACTCACCACGTTGTCTTTGTCACAATATGAACTGAAGTAATCTGAAATAATTACAGCATACTGAAGAAGCACTTTGTTGATAGTCTAGAAGGGGAGAAGAATCTTTTAAATGGTAAATTTCATCATGTAAAACTAAAATAATAAAAACCCCTTAAAAAAGGTGGTTATATAAATTACAGAATTTTCAGGTGTTTACCCATTTAGTATATAGTGGGTTTTTTAGATATAATGTAAACAATCCTGTGAGCACATTTCCAAATCCCTGTACAACAGATGGCATGTGGTTCTTAATGGAACGTAATCTTCAATAGCAGATACACTTTAATTTTAGCCATACTGTTTTTGAGAAGCACTGCGTCTCAAAGCTCCTTGCAACGTGCTACACACTTAACGGAACAGTAGCAAGCTCAAAATATCCCCTAGGATGACAATGCATAGATAAAAATATAATGGAAAAACAAGACCAAGGGACCACTGTTCAAAGCCTGACAATATGAGCTTCCCTTACGGCAGCCATGTAAATAGGAACTTGGCAAATGGAGAACTCTTGCAGTGGAAGAACAGGAATAAACGTAAACGCAAACTTTTTTAAAACCATCAGGACTCTAATGGAAATCTAAATCTTGTGAGGAAACGTTTCCATCCGAACAGAAAGCTGACCTAACAAAAGCAGATGAATAAGAACTACCGCCTCAGGGCTTCCACCAACAGCACTTCCCTGCTGTACCTTAGATTCCCTTCCCTTGCGCTGCGCGATTAGACGACGGCATTTCACTGAATTGCTCCGCTAATGGAATCAGTGCTTAGCAAGAATAATAACTGACTGTACAACGTATGTAAATATGAAATCTGAGAGAGGACAGGACTGCTCGGATCGGTAAATGATTTTGACACAGTAGATGAAAACCAGTCTTAAGCCACAGACAGCACGTCTAAGTATCCCAGTTAGAGATAGAATAGACTGATTCTAAACAACACTGGAATTACTTAACCTTTAAGTACGTGGCAACACAATGGCACTCTCTCTGAAGCCTAGATGAGATGCATTGGTTTTAATTTACCTTTGCAAATCTTCTCATTAAATGAGATAGTGCTTCTGGATTAGGACACTCCAGTTTCCTAATAATCTCAAAGCTTTGATTGAGCTGTGTGAAGACATCAACGACAGAACAAGAGAAGAGGGCATGATCTGATGTTTGCTGAAACTGGAGAGAAACATTCAAATGAGTTAATACTTGTTCAGAGATCAAAACTATATTAAATGATTTTCTTATAGTTTAAATTCTTCCTAGAATTACTTTCATAAAAAGTAATAAATAAAAAATAAATTAAAAAAAGTCTCGCTAATAATACTGAGAAATGTTTTTTTTTCACATTTCTATTACCTTCAAAACTCTTAACAATAAAATCAACATTCTCTTTCATGACATCAGTATCACATCAGAGTTTAATGAAGTCTATGGGGAATTCAAGCAGACAGAATCAGAGCAGGAATTTGCCCACAGGATTATCTTCTGAGAACAGTTACTGGCTGCGTATCTTGTGAGGTCTAATGAGGAAACTGTGGGACCAAACGTACTTCTGGTTTTGCAAAACTAAGTAACTGTCTTAATACTTTCTTTCTTCTTTTCTTTAAGAAGTAAAAGCTCACCCCATCTTTTTTGTCTCTTTCGAGTGCTCCATGAAGGAATTCCATTGAGACATCCTCATTTTCATCCAGCCACTGAATGACAAATGGTTCAAACCACCTGAAAATTGAAAACAACTTTGTAAAGTAAAGTAAGTACATTTCGTAAACATCCTGACAGGAGAGATGGCAGACCACCCAGCAGTTTGGCATCTTGTGTCTTCACCTCTGTTCTAGTTGCTAAAAAGTCTGTCATCCGAGAAAAATTTTGGTCACCAAAGACACTGTGGCTTTCAGGCTTCAGTTTCACAAAGAGTATTGTCTGGCAGAGACAATATACACTGGTCTACCCTAGTGTATATAAATATATATAGATATATATAAATACACATAAAGTTAGCAGTAGCCACCAGAGAAATGTGTCCATGTTTTGCAGGGGATCATATTCTGCACATTTACTTTGTATGTGAAATAACTTGGATAAAACTTTGCTTTAATAAAACAACAGTTGTGTTTTATTTTTCTTTAGTTTATTTATAAATTATTCAACAAAATAACAAGCCCCAAACCATCTCATCAAATCATCAGACTTGCAGAAGATTAAGGCTAGATCATGTAAAAGGACAGGATTGAACGTATTAATTGCAGGAGTAAAGGCAAAAATGAGATCAGCAGCTGAATATTAACCCAATGCAGTAAAAATAATTCCAGCAGTAGATCCCATTAACATTGTATCTTTATCCAAATTTGTGTATGAAACAAATGCAGGGGCCTACAACTAATACTGCTGCTGTTCCCACAGTTCCTTCCTCAGGCCTCTTCTGACCAAAATATTTTGTCATCTGTGAAGTCCTGCCATTTCAGCAGTTGGTTAAAGCATCCCATGAAATAGCTATTCACACTTTCAATGCCTGGACTATTTAATTTGCTAAATTGAGGAATTGAAGAGAAGGACGTACAAAGAGTAAAGTGCTGTTAGTGCTACACACCTTGAGATCTCGCACAAACCTGAGCATAAATATTTGGTCAGCACAAACCTTGCACCACGCCCAGACTCACGGGAGACTTCCCTGCACACTACTTACAGGGAGTATTCCGGCACTGCATCCTTGAAAGCAGAGAGCTCTCGCAGGTATTCATTATAAAACCATTTCACTTTGAAGTGCAAATTCATATAATCTGTGCTTTTGCATAGTCGCTGCTTTTCATGTTCTGTAATAGAAGTTGAAAAAAGAAGCATTTAACAGCATTCTAACAGTAAACAACGTTCTTGTGCCTCAGGGCACTAGTGACATAATAGCACAGCACTTGCATTTTAAAGCACAACTGGTTTGATTTTTTTAGGGCTTGTAGTACCTGCAGTTCTAATCTTCAGGTTCTGAGCACCCTTAGGAAAAACAAAACAACAAAACAGAGACCAGACCACAAGTTAGTCTGTTCAAATGAAGAGAGTTGAACTCCTTTCACTTCAGTGAGGAAAACCCACAAATTTGTTGACATTTAGATTCTTCCTTGATTGTTTCAAAATGGGTAAGAAGCTGTGTCAGGTGCCAAGTTAGAAAAGATAACTAAAGCTCTGCAGTAGCCAAATGAAGTAACAACTATAAATGTCAGTCCCATGTGAATCTGTGAAAATCGCATTAGTAAATGGGCTGAATTTATCACATATCAGTAAGAAACAGAAAGAGGAGACAACTCCACAGCTCTACAGCCATCTGATTTATACATGGCACAAGTAGAAAAGCTGGATTAATAAAGTGTTTTTGAAGTTTTTCAAATGGGCTTCTCCACCTTCTTAGTGTCCTCCTGTTTTCAACTGGATATGCAGATGATCACGGACGGCAGGAGTCACGGAGCCACTTTCTGCATTTTTAAGGTCTGATTCAATTGGTCTGGAGCAAATGTCCATCTTTCCAGGATTATGATCCTTATTTTAGCTTGCCCGCTATGCTCTGCAGTCTTTCCCACCCAGCGACTGCAGAACTCGCCCAGTTCCACTGTGTCAAGCTGTTAGCTCGCCGGCACTTTACCCTTGCTCGAATCTTCCTTCTCCCAGAGCAGGAACCCATGGAGGCACAAGTCTCGGGCAGAGCAATCCTTCCTTCGCTTACTCTTCACAGCTTCCTAAAATCTGGGCAGATCTCACCTGTTTGAGGTGTCGTGTCACTGGCACATTCTTCCTTAAGCAAAAGACTAATCTCTTTTCCCAGCTCCCTTGAAAAGTGATTAACACAGATGCCCAGCAGGAACGACGTTCTAGTGTAAATAGCATGTATTAAGAACGTCCCTCTTTCAAACCTCCTACGTGCTCCTTACTTCTGTGCACGTCATAACACAGCGTTATGCAATTTTTCCTTACATATTCAGGTGTGAACCTGATTTTGTACGACAGTGGGAGCATCCCATCTTCTTTCTTACACACACCTGACCATACCCCTCAGTTCTCTGTCTGCAAATGCACTGTGAAATACCCATTCTGTGTTTTTCAGATCTCATCAGGTACATTAACAGGAATTTTTTAGTTTTATCATTATGCCAAATCATCACTTCAGTAGTCACCGATTGCAGTGCAGTTTGGAGATCTCTGTCCTTTTTCCTGGAAGGAAAGCTGGCACCATGTTTTCCTATGCAGGTGTATCCATTATGGACTTTCTGGAAGACACATGTAGTAGCTGCACAATATAACTCTTCCTAAAAATGTCCATTCTTGCTTTGCAAATTTGTTATAATCCTGAATCGGTCTTGAACTAGACCTGCCCATTGTACGCTGTGCAAATGTGCTTGGCAGAGGTTACAACAGAAATTTCTCATAATTGATTCTAGGTAAACGTAACCTCCATTATAGCAAAGCTAATACTATTAGTCTATTCTTTTGTGCTGCTACTTTTATTAAATGTTCCTTGTAGTGCAGCATATTTTTATCAGCATCTATTAATCTACTGCGTTTTGTAACAAGGACATTTACAGTTAGTGATAACGGCATGTTATTCTCTACTACTGATCATGAATCAGGGGAAAAAATATGGATTTCTGTAAACTGTAAAATTTGTAAACTGTAATCTGTGTGCATGGGGCACTTCAACTGGTTTTATCTATTGCAGTTCCAGCAAGAGGAGCTTTTTTACAGTATTGATTACTTTGTCGGGCTTTTGTCATACCTCCTGAGCAGTAAGGCTCTAGTGCATGTACACTTCCATGTGTCTACAGCAACGGACAGCACCACTTCAGCTGCCACCCAGCTGCGTGAAGAGTCACAACCTTTCAGGTGCACAAATGCCAATGACAGTAACACCTTTAAGAGACTTCCCGTAAACAACAGCGCTGAGAAAAAGAAAACCAACTTCTGTTCAGGTGCTGTTTGTGTAACCAAGAAAGAAGAGAGGTTTTTTCCAAAGGCTATTATGTGGAATGTACTCATATATGCAAATAGGTTTCGTGTGTGAGGAAATCGGCCGAGGACCTGGTGACACTGTGTCTAGCAAACTGCCTAATTGCAGCCAATTTACAGCAACCTGTACCAAGAGACACTGCAGAAAGGTCTATAACCCCCGGGGCTTTCCTCACAGGCCTGTGCCCAAACAGCGGTACTTTGGAACCACGTTTGATCTCTTGCGCGTTTTTCCAGCAATCACTAAAGAGAGGTAAGAAGATTTTCTGAAGGCAGCAAACAAAAAGAAACTGCAATACAACTATTAAGTTTTGGTCTGATGTTTGCAGTGTCACAGCGTTTTGTCAATGAAGTCGTAACGATGACTTACTAAACAGAAAATCTACACAACACTAAAGACGTGATGCCATTTAATAAACTGGAATAGAATCTCGTTCACTACAGAATCCTTCTTCCTTTCTAACCTTGAGGTAATAACATCACTCTGAGTAACCATGCAATTTTTGATATGCGTCAAGTTTCTAAAAAAGGAAAAAAGGGTAATTAACAACCTTCATAAAAGATGAACTTTTAAAATAATCAGGTAATCAAATTGATATTTTGTTCAACTCTAATTTCCCCTTATTTGGGTACAAAAGCTGGGTACAAAAGCAATTTTTTTTTTTTTCCTACAGCAGTTTCCTAGCCACTGTTTTTAGTAACAACATACAGTTAAACTCCTTGAAGGATTCTAATGAGGTGGGTTTAACGAATATTTCAAATCCTTATGAACCAGAATTGCAAGAAGGAAATTTGTCTGCAAAAAATGAACAAATTGCCTAGATATACATAAATATATCTAACAAAAAACCTTGTCCAGTTTCCAGGCTTTAAAGATAATGTTGCAGAAATTAATAACTACTACAATGACTATTTATGCGGAGCTAATTAATTATATCACAATCAGTTGATTCGACTGTTACATACATGCTATTGCACAATAGTTTATTAAAATAGAAATGATTGAGACTAAGCATAAAGGAATTATGTTTGGATTAACTGAAAAGTTTCTCATCAAAACTCAGATCCTGTTTTCAACCTTTGTGACGTAATTCCGTATTATTCGCAATAATTACTTACCAATCATTCTAGAGACTACGAGCTGTTTGTTTTATCTACTTCTTTCAGAACTGCTGTTTTAGAAAACCTGTTATTTCCAAACTTTCAGTCATATAACTGGGAAGTACATACATGGCACAAATTGGGTACGGCTAGTGGAAGAAGAGCTCCTAAGGAAGTCCTACGAGGAATGATAATTGATTGAGCATGAGTTGGTATTCCTCCCTCCGAATCACTGCGGAAATGTTAACCGGCCTGATGCAGCTATGTTTTGGATAAAAGTAGGAGTGAACATTTTGGATCCTGATGGAATTT